TTCATTATGCCTACCAAACAAACCAAATCCGACACCTTCATTATACCTACCAAACAATATCCGAAGTCAGCATTATGGCATAAAACAACAAAACAAAAATATTAACATCATCCCTACAAAAACAAACCTAATACTAAGATTGTGCCTAAAAAAATAGACCATATCCATTGTTAACCTTGTGTCTACAAAAACAAACTACATCGAGAACTAACGTACACTGTAAACAAACAATGAAATACTAACACTGTGCTTATAAAAACAAAACACATCCGATGTCAACATTAAGCCTACAAAGTCAATCCATATCCAAGGTCAGAATTATGCCTACAACATGCCTGTCTTGGTAAAAACATGAGCTGCCGAAACATCATTTTAGCATTTTTGAATCACATTCCATCAAAGTTAACTTTCATACATTAACACATCGCACACTTTGCTAAATTATTTCAGAAACTGTTCCGAGCTGAAGGTAACTGCGCCATCAGTCTCACACTTCCACAATCAAAAAACCGAACAGATCCGTGGGTATCTGAATGTGCATTTATCTTGCATGCAACAGAGCGCGCACCCCTACCCGCCCCCCCGGATTTCTCTCCATCTCCTACTTTTCTGTCTACGGTCCTCCCTTATTTCCACTAAAAACTATGCAGCGAAAGTAAGTTAAATCCATACACATCGCTTCGAAAATAAACCATTCTCAGTTCAGCACGTCGAGAGTTGTAAAGTGAGGCAGCTCCAGACACACACATCAGCCCTGGACTGACGGGCTCCAGCCCAGCGCTATATAAAGAGCAGCGCCGCGCTGCTGCGTCGCGGCATTTCACTCAAGCCTTCCGACTGTGGAGCTCCTCTCGGACTCGTACTCACCGGTATATTACCTACCTTTTATGACAACATTTTATTCATGTTTATTTTTAATTATCTGGATATTTAAAAACATATCAGGTTGTACCCATCTGAGGTTTCTTCATCTTGCTCAGGTAAAATTAAGTGCTTATATTTCCGAATGAATCGGTTAGCTTTGCATTACAAAACACATTTTTGAAATAGGTAAACAGGTCATTTTAACTATAGTGATATTTCAAATGTGCATGTATTGTTTTGCTGGTTGGTTAATTCAGTTCACTGTGTGGTTGTCACCAGTTTGCGCTTCAGTAACTTTTTGATAAGCGCGATAAATGCGTTATGGTGCGCCACACTGAAGGTTTACGTGGCTCTGATGGTCCTCATTGGCCTTTGTTTCCACGAAGGAGTTATGATTCTCAGGGGAAGCCCGTACTGGCTGGCAGTTTTACTGCTTGGGGCTTCCACACTTGCTCAAGGTAAGTTTTTCTGAATGTGTTTTCTTCTTTCATCTTCAATGATGGGTGATTTAAGCATAAGTTTTGCAATATTTTTAAGGTCACTTACAATGGTATAGTAGGTTCTTGTAGGTATCAAGGAAAACAGTAAAACAAAAAGTTGAAAATGACTAATGATGTCATCTGACATTCTATGGAATGTTCCGCCTAAGGAAAGTTCAAAGAATGTTCCAATGAGATCACTGGCTGCCTCCCCCCTCCCTTGCTGCAGATGAAGAGGTCGAAGACCAGACCTTGTTCGACCTGCTGGAAGCCAGTCACATCACACGCAAGACTGCTGGGATTAAGCTCTTCCGGGGCCTGGATGCAGACACCCCAGCCTACCGCTTCATCAGTGTGGAGCACTTGCCCTCTGTGCGTGCTGCAGCCCTCCAGCGCCTCCTACGTCAAGTCCAGAACAATGAGGGCTTCGTGCTGACGGCCACACTGCGGCAGGACCGTGGCTCACGGGGCACCCTGCTCGCCATCGAGGGTCCAGGCGGCCGCCGGCAGCTGGAGATCGTGTCCAACGGACGCACCAACACGCTGGACCTGGTATACTGGGCCGACGGCTCGCAGAACGTGGTCTCCTTCGAAGACGTGGACTTGGCTGACTCTCAGTGGAAGAATGTCACGCTGCACGTGTACGGCGAAGCGGCCACACTCTATGTGGGCTGCATCCTGGTCGATGGCTTCATCTTGGACATGCCCTTCTATGAACACCTCCGTGCAGAGGGCAGCAAGATGTTTGTGGCAAAGGGCTCTGTGCGGGAAAGCCACTTCCGGGTAAGAGTGAGACGTGACCTTCGGGGGTGTCAGGCCAGCAGGGGGGCACCCGCGTGGAATGTGTAACTCTCTGTGGCAGTGCTTTTTTTATCATTATCGTGACGTCACTTCCCTGTTGCTGTGGCTTGATGCAGTGGGTTGCACCCCCTGCCCTGTGACCCCCACTGGCGCCTGGCTCCTGTCTGCAGGGTGTCCAGCACATTCCTCAAACTTTCCTCACTTGTGTGGTCTGACATCGCTTCACAGGCCTTCAAAGTGGCTGCGCCATCTAATATGTGTGTATTTATTGTATGTAATTGTTGTATGTGATATGTCAGTGCATTTAGCCTGGTTTAAATAGAATCTGTAATTTGAAGTTCACCAGACATGCTTCTGAGTTTCCCACATCAAGGCCCACATCTTCTCAAAGCAAGACTCAGCTGCTTGTGGTCTGTAGTCATATGTGCCGTTTGCCGTGACACCATCAATGCCTCACAGCTGTTATTTCATGGCCCTCCAGGGTTTGCTTCAGAGCATACACTTCATCTTCGACACGCCAGTGGAAGAAATCCTGGCCAGCAAAGGCTGTGAGATTCCCAAGCCAGGTAAGAGGGACACCCCTGAGAGCCTCACTGAACTTCAATCACTGGCCCTGAATCTTCTCAGATTGCTGCTTTCAAGTGGGCTAGCACTGTCTGTCTTAGCAGAAAGCAGCAGAACACGAGAGCTGATGCACGTACAACATACAAAGTGTATCAAGACCTACAGTCAAAAATGCAAGATGCACCAACAGCATTGCATTAACACAAGCATGTGGGTGCTTTGAGAGACAAATGCAGCTTTTCTTAGTTCTCCTCACCTGCATCTTTTTTGGGAGAGGTAATCAAACAGTCTTGTGCTTTGTATCAATGTGTTTTGCTATGATGTCACCTTTCCTGGAGATCCCTCAGTCAGTTTGCTGAGTCTGGGCTGCAGCCCAGCAGGCCAATTGCAGGCTTTGCCACGCTAAGCGGCGGCTGCTGCTTCGGCACTTTGCTCACATGCGAGCAGAGAGGCCAACATAAACATCCTGCTGCAGGCAGCCGTCACTCTGTCTCACACCGCATGCGCATGCACACACACACACACACACACACACACACATATGTAGGGTAAACATATCCTTATGGGGACCGCTCATTCATTTCAATGGGAAAAATGCTAACGCTAACCATGACAACCTTAACCGCTACCCTGCCCTAACCATAACCATAAGTAACCAAACAAAATACAAGAGTTTTTACATTTTTAGTTTTTTCATAGCAGTCACCGATTTTTTAAAATAGAGTTTTCCCTTATGGGGACCAGGAAACCGGTCCCCATAAGGGAAAAAAACCAGATATTTATCACGCTATGGGGACATTGTGCCCCCATAAGGATAGGTAAACCCGCTCACACACACACACACACAGCAGCAACAAAGAAACGTAGACAGCTGTTTGGAAAGCTCATCTGGGATGTTTTTGTGTTGCTTTTTCCTTTGTTTTTGTCATTTGTTTACCTGCATACTAAGCTCTGCTGTCATAATGGTCATCTTAGTTTCGTTCCATGGGGGATGAAGCTTGTGTGTGTGTGTCACATTGATACAACACATCGACTGTAGATTCAGCGACTTTGGATGGAAGCAATATTCAATCCATGGAAAAGCAATTATGTTGATGTGACTGATTTCTGTACCACCTTGATGGATTATGTTCATCCACATTCCTGGCGAGCGCCTCTGCCGGCAGTAAGAAGATAGGCAGGGTTGCTTGTGTGCCCAGGAACTTGTCCTGTTTTCCGAAGGCCTCCCGGAACGCAGCAGCAGGGAGATAGTAAAACGGCCCAGTACGTCTGAGCCGCGAGTCGTGGCAGACGGCACGTGAGCGCCCTGCATGCAGACACTAATGTGGAGCAGTCACTCCATGGCACACATGCCTGTGCTTCTCCTTCACAATCCCTCTCTCCTGACTCACGCTTCGGCTCACCAGGGGTTTCAATGCATCTACCAGATACTTTCTCAAAAATAGGAAAGTCATTCCAAGTAAGCGGACCAGACTGTGCCAAAGAGCTTTCTTCATTTATTTGCCCCAGGACTCTCAGCAATGTTATAGCATGTATGATGTGTTGCCCTGCTGCCATTGAATCTGTAGGGGGCTCCTTACTTCTAGGAAGATACAGAACATTTTGCTTTATTTATTAGGAACCAATTAATGATTCCTGTGTTCCATTACAGACTGAATTATGGAGACAATCTGAAACAATTTTAATGACTGGTGTCTCTGCATATATTGGTTTCAGAAATTCATGGTCCATTTCATACTAATGTATGTATGCATTTGGTTTGTTTCAGTCCATCCCGGATTCAGGAGTTGTGTTTGGCCTGTTTTGGTCCATTTGAGTGTACTAGTCCATCCTATGCTAACATTTGCCTCTTCAAATTGAAGTCTAAGAAAAAAAAAATTCTCCTTGTTTTGCAAGTTTAGGACTCCTCGGGATCGGAAGTATCTGGGTGTTAGTGTCAGTCTGGGCCGTGTGCGGTTCTGTAGCTTAGGACTCCTCGGGATCGGAAGTATCTGGGTGTTAGTGTCAGTCTGGGCCGTGTGCGGTTCTGTAGCTTAGGACTCCTCGGGACCGGAAGTAACTAGGTGTTAGTGTCAGTCTGAGCCGTGTGCGGTTCTGTAGCTTAGGACTCCTCCGGATCGGAAGTAACTGGGTGTTAGTGTCAGTCTGGGCCGTGTGCGGTTCTGTAGCTTAGGACTCCTAGGGATCGGAAGTAACTGGGTGTTAGTGTCAGTCTGGGCCTTGTGCGGTTCTGTAGCTTAGGACTCCTCGGGATCAAAAGTAACTGGGTGTTAGTGTCAGTCTGGGCCGTGTGCGGTTCTGTAGCTTAGGACTCCTAGGGATCGGAAGTAACTGGGTGTTAGTGTCAGTCTGGGCCATGTGCGGTTCTGTAGCTTAGGACTCCTCGGGATCAAAAGTAACTGGGTGTTAGTGTCAGTCTGGGCCGTGTGCGGTTCTGTAGCTTAGGACTCCTCCGGATCAGAAGTAACTAGGTGTTAGAGAGAGAGAGAGAGAGAGAGAGAGAGCGTGCGTATGTATGGATCCCTGCGTGTGTGCCTGTTCATGTAGCCCGTGCTAGACAGACAGCATCCTGATTGGTCTACTTAGCAAAATAAGCCAATCAGATTTCAGTGCGGGCGGGCTTTTATTTAACTTCTCGAGGACCGAAGTTATCGGTTCAGTGGAGCCTTCGAAATTTAGTGTGCTGACTAGAAAAAATGTATTAACAAAAAATTATACATATGGCCAATGTAGAAATTCTCTTGTGTGAAATAAAGTCATTTCCCTTCTTGGCGGGGGTGGGGGGGGACCTCCCTGAAATGAGTTTTTGCAGGTTGGGATGTCTGCCATCAGCCAGTGCACACATCAGTCCAGATAAGCAGTTCTTGGATAAATACGTGTTAGGAAACAGGAATCTTCCTGCCACCAGAGTCCTAACACAGCTGACCTCTGTTTTCTCTGTTTTTCTGGAATAATATGATTGGCTACCTGGCTCTGTGCTCATTTGCCACGGCCCTGTGTGGCAGCCCTTTAGAACTGCAGCACCCTCTTCCTGCAGATGAGGCCAACGTAGTGAGTGAGAGCGTTGAGCTGGACGAGGCGGATCCCGGAATCGCCGGCAATGCCATTGCCCCGAAGGAGGACGCAACCACCCCAGCTGGCACGCCGGCGGGCTCCGACCTCATGTGCGAGCGCTCCTGTGAGGAGCTGCACAGCCTCTTCCAGGAGCTGCAGGGGCTGCGAGTCGTGGTGGGAAACCTCATCGACGGCCTGCAGAAGGTGGTGAGGAGTCAGCCGGGTCACAACAACCGCATCACTGTACAGTAGCTGCTCAGCGCCATCATCCCATTAAGGATGGAGAGGATGCCAGTATGGAGTCACAAGAATGTCACACAGCTGACTTATAATGTATAAGATGTGAACCTGTCACTCTCCATTGTTATAATGCTGTATACACTCCTTGACCTTGAATACTCTCCAGCCAGTAGGACCTGGCTTAGACGATCTTCAGCTCAGATCCAGCCCTGTACATGAGGTTGCATGTTAGTCTGAGAGCTGTGGGCGTCTGACTAACAGAGAAGAGGCCGTCTTTGCTGCCATATCTGGAGCCCAGAGGCTGCCTCACATGCCTCCACATGCTCTGTGAAGCCATCAAGCCTTTTGTGTCAAGAGCCTCAAATTACTCAAGAACAGAGTATATCCACACACATGTAGCGCTGATAACTGACTCCAGCATAACAGATGAACTCATAATGAACATTTATGTGTATGTGCCTGTCTTCAGACAGAGGAGAACAATCTCATGAGGAAGACCCTGGCAAAGATAAAGACTTCCAGTGAGCAGATCTGCTGGCAGGACGGCCGACAGTTTGAGGACAAGGAGGAGTGGGTGGTGGACAGCTGCACCAAGTGTACCTGCCAGGTCAGGGGCATGTGGTGGCGGGGCAGGGGTGGGGCAGGATGGGGGAAGGATGGGAACAACATTTCAATACACTGTATACTGTGTATATTGTTGTATTGACAATAAACCAATCTTGAATCTTGAAGGGCAGGATGGAGGAGGAGCAGGTGGTGGGGCAGATGGTGAGGTAGATGGTGGGATAGATGGTGGAGCAGATGGTGGGATGGGGCTGTGGCAGGGGTGGGGCAGGATGGAGGAGGGGCAGGTAAAGGGATGGGGCAGGGGTGGGACAGTAGCAGGGATGGGGCAGGTGGTGGGGGTGGGGCAGGTGGTGAGGTCGAATCAGGATCTAATAGGATGGGCTTGGACTGACTGTATGCCAGTGCGAATGAGAAAAATACTCTCAAGCCCTAAGCAGGTCACCGTACTGCTACATGAGTCTGACTTAAATGCAGTGTCTTGCCTGCAGGATGGGAAAGTGGTCTGCCGTCAAATCATGTGTCCTGCGGTGGCCTGCGCCAATCCCACCTTCTCCGATGGGGAGTGCTGTCCCGCGTGCCTGCGTAAGTCCAGTGGCTCCTGCTCAGCAGTTCTCTTCATAGCTGTCCTCTTCGACAGCTTGGTCCCTTTCCCCTGCACCTCTTATTTCCACATTCACTGCCATTTTCTTTTGATCTGTTGTGCTTTTTCTGAACTGCTTTTGCTGTTCTGTGCCAGGACCCAAAGTTTCCCCTTCAGTTATGTTCCAATAAATATAATTTAAAGAAGAATATGATTGTCATAAGTCTTGCCCCTGCTCTACGAACCGGATCACTTTGATGAATGACACTCTGGCTGGGAAGCTGGTCATCTTCTCCGTGGTTTTTTGAGCCACCCACTGAACCGCAGGAACTTTTCACATTTACTGCATGTTGATCCCTTAAGCTGTGCTCTGAATATTTCCCTAACTCCAATGATTTAAAAACAGCTGCACTTCAAAAGCGCACATGAGATTCTGCACATGTAATGTCATCGTGAAGTCCCCACTGGTTTCAGGGAGAACATTGAGTCATCTCACACGCCCCAGCCTCGGTGCCCAAATCCTGCCCATATGTTTGCCCAGCCAATGACGGTGATGACGGCTGGTCACCCTGGTCGGAATGGACAGAGTGTTCGGTCACCTGCGGCTCAGGGACGCAGCAGCGTGGCCGTTCCTGCGATGACAGCAGCAATGCCTGTGCCGGCCCATCTATCCAGACACGCCGGTGCAGCCTCAGCCGCTGTGAGAGCCGTGGTGAGTTGATGTCAGCATGTTGCCTGCAGATGGGCTGCCAGTTCAGATTCAACTAGCAGACCTTCAGTGTGGAAGCTCCACAGTGACTGCACAACTGGGCAGATGTGTGCATCCTAGAACTTTGTCCTCCACCCCAGCCAGGATCAGGCAGGAAAGGTCCCTGAGCAGCTCCACCCAGCAATGCGTCACCCGTCTTTGGCTGAGGGTCACGCTTACTTTAGAGCTAAGGAATGTATTTAGTGACTAGAGTGCTTATGATGCTGCTGATGGTGGTGAGGAAGAGTCCAAGTCCTTGGAGCAATACCGCATGTTACACCGATGACTTTTGCATGACTTTTATGTAACATACAGAAATTAAAGTTAAAATTCTGTTAAACGCAGTCAGGACCAGCGTACTCCAGGGTGCACTGGATGATGGAGGGAGTGGTGGAGATGGTCTAGGTCAGCTTACTCCGGTATTCACTGACTGATGATGGGTAGAGGTAGTTTAGGTCAGCTTACTCCAGTGTACACTGGCTGGTGGAGATGGGTGGTGGAGTCGGTCTAAGTTGGCTCTGGTGTGTACTAGCTGATGGAGGGGGTGGTGGATGTGGATTAAATTGGTTTACCCCAATGTGCACTGAATAATGAAAGGGAGAAGGTGGTTTAAGTTTGCTTACTACTGTGTGCACTGAGTGATGGAGAGGGGTGGTGGAGGTGGTCTAGGTCAGCTTATTCTATTGTTCATTGGTTGATGACTGGGGAAGGTGGTTTAGGTCAGTTTACTCCAGTGTGCAATAGCTAATGGAGGAGGTGGTCTAGGTCAGGTTACTCCAGTGTGCACTGGCTGATGGAGAGGGGTGCTGGAGGTGGTCTAGGTCAGCTTGCACTTTCCACAACATAAGCAGGGAAAAATGTTATGACGTGTTCTAGTTTTTTTCTGCCAATTTCTTACACAATCTGCCTGAATCATAAAGTCATAATCATCGGCCAAAAAACACAGAGTTTTGTATAGTTTTTATTCCATTTCCATTCCCCTGACCTAATCAGTAGAACTATTCTGAGAGTATGAGCAGATGAGGCCGAGCTGGAGCTGAGTCTCGCGTACACATGGGCCATATTAAGGCCTTACGCTGCTAACTGTGTGTTGCTCTATCAGTCCGACAGGATGGTGGGTGGAGTTTGTGGTCACCGTGGTCCTCCTGCTCAGTGACATGCGGCGAGGGCCAGGTCACCCGCATCCGGCACTGCAATGCCCCCATGCCTCAGCGGGGGGGCAAAGACTGCCAAGGCACTGGCCGGGAAACGCAGAGCTGCCAGGCGGACCCATGTCCCAGTGAGTATGACAGGGGCGACAGGCTGTCACATAGGTGCACATGAACACACAGGGGCACCAGCTGCCAAAGCAGAGCCCCAGTCCCACTGACATGCCTCCAGTAAGGACACAGGGCTGAGGGCAGTGCCAGCAACAGGCATGGCATTCTGGAAACTGGATCTGTGAATGAGTGTGGGTTCACAATCCCAGAGGTAATTTCCATTATGTCCATTAGGCCAGCACGCAATTGCAGTTTGCACCTTTAGCTACATAACTTAATAAACAGCCTGATCAAGGTCATTCAAACCTTTTAGCATTAATCTGATCATTAGCAACACATGTGTGTTTATCTCATGTGTGAACAGGCTGTGCGGACAGGATTTCATTTATTTCCCATTCAATTATGACAGCATGACATGCAGTGATTTTAGCTGGCAGCTTGGCAGCTTTTTTTTTTTTCTTCTCTTTGTGTCCCATCTGGAAGCCTGATATTGATCCTCCTGTCCACATCTTCTATCCTGTCTCACCTCTGTGTCCCCCCGTCCCACTGATTCATCTTTGTGTTGACTGGCAGTTGATGGTGGGTGGGGTCCCTGGTCTCCATGGGCAACCTGCTCAGCCACCTGTGGGGGGGGTCTGAAGAGCCGTAGTCGGGAATGCAACAGCCCACCCCCCCAGCATGGGGGCCGAGGTTGCATGGGTGAACCCAGTGACAATGAAGTCTGCAACAGGCAAGATTGTCCCATAGGTAAGAGAGCCTGGCCACACTCATACCTTTGATCACACCCCTTAACCTATCGGTAAGAGCCTGTCCACATCCACACCCCTGACCATACCCCATAACCTATCAGTAAGAGAACCTGGACACACCCACACCCCTGACCACACCCCTTAAACTATCGGTAAGAGCCTGTCCACATCCACATCCCTGACCACACCCCTTAAACAATCGATAAAAGAGCCTGTTCACATCCACACCCCTGAACACCCCTCTTAACCTATCGATAACAGCCTGTCCATATCCATACCCCTGACTACACCCCTTAACCTATCAGTAAGAGAACCTGGCCACACCCACAGCCCTTACCAAACCCCTTAAACTATTGGTAAGAGCCTGTCCACATCCACACCCCTGACCACACCCCTTAACCTATCTGCAAGAGCCTGTCCACTTCCACAACCCTGACCACACCCCTTAACCTATCAGTAAGAGAACCTGACCACACCCCTTAAACTATCAATAAAAGAGGCTGGCCACACTCACACCCCTAACTACACCCCTTGACCATTTAGTAAGAGAGCCTGGCCACACCCACACCCCTGATCACACCCCTTACCTTCTGACCCTATCAGTAACAGAGCCTGGCTCCACCCACAACTCTAACCACACCCCTTACCCTCTTATTCTATCAGGAAGCGAGCCTGTCCGCACCCACACCCTGGACTACACCCGTCTAGATCACATACGTCTATCTAGTAGACACTTTTATCCAAAGCAATATACAATTGACACAGCAGGCTCAGAGAGTCCCTATTCCATGCACAAGGACAAAGTGGTGAAATCACTCTGCTGACCCAGGAATTTCAACTGGTGACATTCTGATCATGAGCACAGATGTCTGACCACAGAGCCATACACTGCCCCAGAAAGAGACCTTCCACACATACAATCAATGTCCCTCAACCCATTAACTCTCCCTGATCATTCCATCTAAATAACTTATGATCCCACAACACTGACAACACAACTTTAAATCATCATGTCCCCATTTATTTCATAGATGGCTGTCTCTCAAACCCCTGCTTTGCCGGTGTGGAATGCCATACTGGTGCTGATGGATTCTGGGAGTGTGGTCCCTGCCCTCTGGGTTTCCGTGGCAATGGTACCTTCTGTGAGGATGTGAATGAGGTATGTATCCAGGGCAACAGTAACCAGTATAAGGTGATGTATGTTCACCAAGAACCACAGACGCACCTTGACAACCAGCCCAGCATCATCCATTAAGGCAGCATAAACGACGGTCCGCAGGGGTGTTTAGATACCCTCTACAGCTCTAAAGCAGTCACCCTTTATAATAGTGTCACCATTGGCTACCTACTGTTCCAAATAAAATGCAATATGACAGCCTTACTGTGTCCCCACAGTGTGACATGGTTTCAGACCTGTGCTACAAGGTGATCGGAACAGAGCGCTGCATCAATACAGAACCCGGGTTCCATTGCCTGCCGTGCCCCCCCAGGTACAAGGGCACTCAGCCTTATGGCTTGGGGGTGGAGGCCGCCAAGAACAGCAAGCAGGTCTGCATCGCTTTGACCTACACCTGCCTACATCCTGGTCATAACAGCACACACCTGCCTCAGATTATAACCCCCTCACTGCTCCTCTTATACTGCTTAGAGTATAACTCCCTAAGAAGACCTCCTCCCCTCACTGCTCCTCTTATACTGCTTAGAGTATAACTCCCTAAGAAGACCTCCTCCCCTCACTGCTCCTCTTATACTGCTTAGAGTAT